AGTGTCTGATCCCTCTGTTTTCAGTGTCTGATCCCTGTGTGTTCAGTGTCTGATATCTGTGTTTTCATTTTCTGATCCCTGTGTGTTCGATGTCTGATCTCTCTGTGTTCAGTGTCTGATCTCTCTATGTTCAGTGTCTGATCCCTCTGTGTTCAGTGTCTGATATCTGTGTGTTCAGTGTCTGATCTCTCTGTGTTCAGTGTCTGATCTCTCTATGTTCAGTGTCTGTTCTCTGTGTTCAGTGTCTGATCCCTCTGTTTTCAGTGTCTGATCCCTGTGTGTTCAGTGTCTGATATCTGTGTGTTCAGTGTCTGATCTCTCTGTGTTCAGTGTCTGATCTATCTGTGTTCAGTGTCTGATCCCTGTATTTTCAGTGTCTGATCTCTGTGTTCGATGTAGGGGGTGGAGACTGCGATCCTGGAGAATCCAACAAGAATAATGTGGTCCTGTTTGGTCGTTCAGAGGGCAGGAAAGATCATGTGCTTCTGGACATACTTCCATACTCAGCCTACAGGGTAGAAACCTAATACAGTCTATAGTCAGATTTAGGTTACATAATCATTTTCAACAGTTGACATGTTCTGTTCAGAATGTATCATTCAACTATTTCTCTTATTTCTTTTGTGATTTACTGTGTCATGTTCCCATCTGTATACACCTTGACATCTCTTGGCTTTCTCTTCCAGAATCCTTCAGTCGTCTCGGTTGGTTTGCCCACAGAACTTCAGACTCCAGCCACTCAGTTTTGTCTAGAGCAGAAGTTTCATGGTGGAGCGAACCGTCATGTTTGGGCTGTGGACTTCCTGCAGCTGCTTCCGGTGCTGCCTGGAGCAAACACTCACCTGGTGCAGTTCTCAATTAACCTCGGGTGTGGAGCCTACCAGCCGGCCAACAGGTGATCAGATCAGAAAACAATGATAACCCAAAAATCATCACTTACTCACCCTCATGTCATTCAAACCTGCATGGCTTCTTTCTTCTGCTGCTCATAAAATAAGACATTTTGAAGAACACTGGGGTCCAAACAACAGTGGACAAAACAACACTGAGATATCTTTCAAAACATCATCTTTTGTGTTTGCAATTATATTTGGGAAAGTCAAATGATGCCAATACAATAGAATAGAATAGAATAGAATAGACTTTCTATTGCCACAAGAACAGCAGGAATAGTGGAAATTTTAGTTTGTGTATCTTTGTGTTTGTTTGCAGCAGTAATAGTAGACTGCTCAAAAAATGAAAGGAACACTTTGAAAACATATCAGATCTCAATGGGGAAAAATATCATGCTGCATCTATGCTAATATGGATGTGTTAGTGTGTTAGGAATTAAAGGATGCCACATAATTTGATGGAAATTAAAATTATCAACCTACAGAGGGCTGAATACTCCAAAAGGATGCAGCAGGCTAGTCCATTTTGCTGAAATTTAATTGCAGCAACTCAAAATGGTACTCAGTAGTTTGTATGGCCCCCACGTGCTTGTATGCATGCCTGATAATGTCGGTACATGCTCCTAATGAGACGATGGATGGTGTCCTGGGGTATTTCCTCCCAGATCTGGACCAGGCATCACTGAGCTCCTGGACAGTCTGAGGTGCAACCTGGACCCAAACATAATGTCCCAGAGGTGTTCTATTGGATTTAGATCAGGCGAGCGTGGGGGCCATTCAATGGTATCAATTCCTTCATCCTCCAGGAACTGCCTGCATTCTCTGGCCACATGAAGCCGGGCATTGTCGTGCACCAGGAGGAACCCAGGACCCACTGCGTTCTTCCATGGATATTCCTCCCCAGACCATCACTAACCTACCACCAAACCGGTCATGCTGAATGATGTTACAGGCAGCATAACCTTCTCCACGGCTTCTCCAGACCCTTTCACGTCTGTCACATGTGCTCAGGGTGAACCTGCTCTCATCTGTGAAACGCACAGGGCACCAGTGGCGGACCTGCCAATTCTGGTGTTCAATGGCAAATGCCAGTCAAGCTCCACGGTGCCGGGCTGTGAGCACAGGGCCCACTAGAGGGCGTCGGGCCCTCAGGCCACCCTCATGAAGTCTGTTTCTGATTGTTTGGTCAGAGGTATTCACACCAGTGGCCTGCTGGAGGTCATTTTGTAGAGCTCTGGCAGTGCTCAGCCTGTTCCTCCTTTGCACAAAGGAGCAGATACCGGTCCTGCTGATGGGTTAAGGACCTTCTACGGCCCTGTCCAGCTCTCCTAGAGTAACTGCCTGCCTCCTGGAATCTCCTCCATGCTCTTGAGACTGTGTTGGGTCTCCAGCAAACCTTCTGGCAATGGCACGTATTGATGTGCCATCCTGGAGGAGTTGGACTGCCTCTGCAACCTCTGTAGGGTCCAGGTATCGCCTCATGCTAAACGTAGTGACACTGACCTTAGCCAAATGCAAAACTAGTGAAAAACAGTCAGAAAAGATGAATAGGGAAAAAAATTTCAGTGGCCTCCACCTGTAAAACCATTCCGGTTTTGGGGGTCATCTCATTGTTGCCCATCTAGTGCACCTGTTGTTAATTTCATTAACACCAAAGCAGCTGAAACTGATTAACAACCCCCTCTGCAACTTAAGATCAATATCCCAGGAGTTTAAGAACATGTACTTTTTAAAAATTCACACCAGTGGCCTGCTGGAGGTCATTTTGTAGAGCTCTGGCAGTGCTCAGCCTGTTCCTCCTTTGCACAAAGGAGCAGATACCGGTCCTGCTGATGGGTTAAGGACCTTCTACGGCCCTGTCCAGCTCTCCTAGAGTAACTGCCTGCCTCCTGGAATCTCCTCCATGCTCTTGAGACTGTGTTGGGTCTCCAGCAAACCTTCTGGCAATGGCACGTATTGATGTGCCATCCTGGAGGAGTTGGACTGCCTCTGCAACCTCTGTAGGGTCCAGGTATCGCCTCATGCTAAACGTAGTGACACTGACCTTAGCCAAATGCAAAACTAGTGAAAAACAGTCAGAAAAGATGAATAGGGAAAAAAATTTCAGTGGCCTCCACCTGTAAAACCATTCCGGTTTTGGGGGTCATCTCATTGTTGCCCATCTAGTGCACCTGTTGTTAATTTCATTAACACCAAAGCAGCTGAAACTGATTAACAACCCCCTCTGCAACTTAAGATCAATATCCCAGGAGTTTAAGAACATGTACTTTTTAAAATAAGTGAATTAAATATTGTTGTCTCCTCTTTTTCTGTTCCTGCATATGTGAATTTCACAGTGTCAAACTGGAGTTCTCAACAAATCATGGTCGCTCCTGGTCTCTCCTGCACACCGAGTGTCTTCCTGAACTGTGTGCCGGATCACATCTGCCTCACAGCAGCATCTACTCCTCAGAGAACTACAGCGGGTCAGTCACTGCATCTGTTGGATGCTTTCATAAATCCGTGTTGTCTGTTCTGTTAACAGTGTGGTTTATTCTCTGTGTTCCTGTAGTTGGACGAGGATCACGATTCCTCTGCCCAACTCCGCGCTCACAGGCAGCACTCGCTTCCGCTGGAGACAGACCGCTGTGGGAAGCAGCAACATGTGGGCGATTGACAATGGTAAGACATACAGGTCATATTTACTGATAGATGTCGACACATTATAGTCAAACCCATGGAGCGTGATCAGCAGATTAGACAGTGATTTTGAGCAAATAAATCATGATCAGGGACGATGATGATTATATGGTTGTTGTTGTTCCAGTGTATATCGGTCCGTCCTGTTTGCGTTTCTGCTCCGGTAGAGGACACTGTTCACGCACGGGCTGCAAGTATGAACGTCTTTAAGTCAGAACTGCAGCAAAACACTCTTTACACTGTGAAAACAGCAACATCTTACTGGTTCAGGAAAATGTGTGTTTTCTTGGTATTTCTTCAGGTGTGACCATGGTTTCAGCGGTCCGGCATGTGAGCTGGCGTCTCAGACCTTCCCTGCGTTTCTGTCCGAGAGTTTCTCCAGCGTGAGGCTGTCGTCCTATCACAGCTTCTCCTCACTGCGGGGGGCAGAGGTCAGCTTCGCCTGTGGGGTTTTGGCCAGCGGAAAAGCCCTGGTCTTCAACAGGGACAGTAGGAGACACATTGTTACGACCCCCCTGGACAGTTCACAAGCCAGGTACACACACACATGTTTTTATGTTGTATGGGGACTCTCCATAGGCATAATGGTGTTTTTACTGTACATACTGTATTTTCGGTCCCCTAGCCCTAAACCTCTCACACAAAGCTACAGGTATTTTTACATTCTTAATAGAACATTCTTTAGTATACTTTTTGTGCTATTTTAATTATGAGGACTCAGGAAATGTCCTCATAAAACACGTTTATGTTGTTATATCAGTATAATACCCATGTCATTATACAAATGTGTGTCCTCCTAAATCACATAAACATGCACAAATATATGTGCCATTGCTTCGGCTGACCGTTTGACTCAGACATTTGCATTTTATTGGGGCCTTTTGGTATTAGAAGTGTAAAGATCGTGATTCTTTCATTTTTATCACTTTTATTTATCACTTCAGTCAGAAAGGTACTATTGTTCATATTCGTGTCATCTGGACTCCTCTGATAGCATTACTTCAAAACAAGCCCCAGCTCATGTCTCTTTCTCTCCTGCAGGTATCTTCAGTTCACGCTGAGGCTGGGCAGTCGCAGCACGTCAAGCTCCTGTCCCGCTCCAGACCAGACGGGTGAAGGAGTGCTGCTGCATTACTCCTCAGATAACGGCATCACCTGGACGCTGCTGCAGCATTACGCTTATCAGGGCTTCCATGAGCCCAGGTACACCGTCCTGAACACACACACCACTGCTGGACTTTACTGCGGTCATGTGGAGCGGCATGGCATATCTGACTTCTGTAGTGTGTCAAGCAAATAAGTTAAAGGGGCCAGATGATGGGATTTACATTTACATTTAGTCATTTCAAGTCATGTGGAGCAGCATGGCAAGTTTTCCCTTTGTCTTTGGAGTGTTACAAGCTGTTTGTACAAATATAAGATTGGTAAATTCACAAAGATTAAAGTCTCAAACCCAAAGAGATATTCTTTCTAAAAGTTAAGACTCGTTCACGCCTTCCTAAAACGCCTCATTTAAACATGCCCCCACATATCTACATCCCTGTGTGCCCAAATGTTTACGCAAAGAAAGAAGGCGTACCTTTTATTCTCACTGAAGTATTGTTGTCGTGGAGACACTGTGTGTTTCCAAATATGGTAAGGGGCGTAACATTTCGTCATAAGCTTGAGGTATTCACCCAATCACAACGCACTGGATAGCTGGCCAATCAGAGCACACCTCGCTTTTCAAACGATGAGCTTTGTAAAAATCGATGCGTTTCAGAAAGGCAGGGCAGAGAGGAGCAACAATAATGTACAGTATGTGGACAATAATGTGTAGCGTCGTCATATGACCCCTTTAATATATGTTGTGTGATCAGCCCGTCTGCTATTTTTGATGGTTACTGAATTGACTCTTTCTAGGATCGTTTCTGTGGAGCTTCCTCCTGGGGCCCGTAAATTCGGGGTCCAGTTCCGCTGGTGGCAGCCGTACCATTCGGGCCGCGGGCAGGACGTCTGGGCTCTGGATGAGATCAGCATGACCTCCGTCCTCTTCAACATCATCAGCCTGGACTTCAGTAACGTGTTAGACGTGACTCAGAGCCTGGGCTTCTATCTGGGGAACGTGCAGCCGTACTGCCAACACGACTGGACCCTCAGGTACCTGCCTCATGTTCACCACAGTACCATTCTTTATTAGTTAAGGCTTTAATCAGCAGCCATTGAAGCATCAATGTGAAATATAGGCATTACTGACATCTCAGTACAGAGACAGAAGAACTATATCATGATGTCTGTCCTTACAGTGGTTGAAAGTGACTGGTGATGACTATTTTTGAGCTTAAACAGGGAGCTGCTAGAAAGTCACTTTATGACGCTTTATATTTATGATGCTTAACGAAGTTAACTATATGAACATCAGGTAACAGACCCTAACCGATTGATCGGTTGAACATCACTGCATTTGTGCTTCACTCCTTTCATGATTTTTCTGGGATTTAAGGATTTGGAGAACATCTAATCCATACTATTAAAGCTACTCTAATGGAACTGAATGACCTTTTAATGTACAATTAAACATTTCTAATTACTATTCATGAGCTCAGACGTCACAACCCACCCAACTAAAGTCTCACTTGACACCAGCTCTCCAAGAACAAAAAAGCACAAAAAGAGCTCTGTTTCAGATCCCGAAGTTTGCCACCATTTGCCAGACCAGCAAAAAGACAGAAAATTGCTTTTGTATTCAATGCAAAAGCAAACAGAATATTTCTGCAATTAATAATGCATTGAAATCCAAACAGCATTTCCCTTCGGGCTCCGTCTGAAATGAAAGTGTAAACCACAATGATGTAAATATTTGCTCAGTTTTTCAGGCGATCACGACTCAGCCTCCAGTATCCGCTATGTGGAAACACAATCCATGCAGATCGGCGCGTCCTACATGATCCAGTTCTCGCTGGTCATGGGCTGCGGACGCGACCCTTCTCCTCACATCGACACTCAGGTCCGGCTGGAGTTCTCCACCAATCACGGCTTGACTTGGCATCTCGTCAAAGAGGTGAGAAAACCTAAATATTCTCTAATGCTTCTTGTTTTCACCAAGAGAAAAGTACCTAAATGCACCATAGTGTTACCATGTTTTTGGAGTATGATGTAAATACCATGCTAGTGAATGAGTACCACGGTATAAGTACTGACAGTATCACCATCTGATACTGCCTCTGGGTCTTCACTCAGAAACCTCCGCACTTCTTGTAAGGATTGTAGAAGCAATCTAAAGCACTGCACATGTTGTCAGATTATAGATGATTCCTTGTGCTGTGATTCCTCTGGTCTCCACTGTGAGGTAAACTGCGGTTTCTGGTGGTTTGTGGGTAACAGGCCTGTCTCCCCGGCATGCCGAGCTGCTCTGAGTTCACTGCGTCCAGCGTCTACCATCCGTCTGAGTTCACAGACTGGAGACGCATCACGCTTCCACTGCCGTACAAAACCTGGTGAGACACAAACGCTGCACACAGATTCACCGACTGCAGTGCACTGGACTCTCCTGTGCTACAGGAGCAAGACATCTGATTATTAAATGTGACATTATTTTTAAAAGTGAATATGTATACATTTGACTCCTTTTATAACTAGAAAACTACTTCCATAAAGTGACGTTTAAAGTCTTATAGTCATATTATATTACAAACAATACATGGCAAATGTGTCAAGGTGATAAACACCAAAGGCATTTTCCCATGACCTGTTTTGCTCATGTTTATGGCAGTATTTCTGGTTTTAGGGTGGAAATGATCGTATTTTACCAGTGTTCATGCATCTTCATAGACTGCTGTGCATTTACAGTGTTTTCTGGTTTCATGCTGTTTTCTGACTGTAGGTCGAGTGCGACACGTTTCCGATGGATCCAGAATCACTATCAGGAGCAGGACGAGTGGGCTCTGGATGACGTTTACATTGGGCAGCAGTGTCCTCAGATGTGCCGTGGACACGGGTGGTGCGACCACGGTCACTGCAGGTCAGTCACTGTCACTTACTGGCGCGACTGATTCGCATTTTCAAACTTTTGACCAAGTATTTCTGTTTCATTTTCCATTTGAAACATCAAAAAATCTTAGAAACAGTAATTTACTGGAGAAGCAGAATGTTTCAAGAAATTAGGACATATTTTCACAGACTGTAGTTTAATATGAGCTATTTTCACTTGTTTTAATTATAAACAAATTAAGAATATAAAAATGTGCATTGAAACAATTAAAATACACTTGTATCAATAAAATACAATCTATGAAAACTAATTTGAATATCTAATGCAGTGTTGAGTGAATATTTTCTGGACAACAATTCAAAACAGACTAATTAAAATCCATTTAGCAGTTTGTTTGTTTTTTGAGTTTTTGCATTTCATCATAATGTCTAGCTCTTCACACTGGGAGCTGTAATGAAGCGTCTGTATCGGTGCTGAGACACGACCTGAGGGATTCACTTACACTCTGTTTAATAATGTGAACAAACGCTGTGTTTTCCAGTCTGCTGATTGAGCTGGAGTTCAGTCAGTCGTAAAGCAGACCCTGACCCCAGTTACCAGAGCGTCCGGCTCACAGATTGCATCTTACAGCACACAGCCGTGAATCAAACGCACTGCTTTATTACCGCACGGAAATGACATGAGCTGATGCACCTCAAATGGCCTTTCATTTCATTTCAAGCTATAAATGTAAAACATGGGTTTGTGGCACAAAAGAACTGTGAGGAGTCCTCACAGCCGAAAAGTAAAGATTATTGATGACTATTTTCATTATTGTAAATGCTGTTGGGGATTAAATGACCAGAGTTTTTTTTGTTGTTGCTTATCATCACTTTTGATAGATTTCACCTAGTGCTGTCAAACGATTAATCGCAATTAATCGCATACAAAATAAAAGTTTTTTTTGTTTGCATAATATATGTGTGTGTACTGTGTATATTTATTATGTATATATAAATACACACACATACAGTATATATTTTGAAAATATTTACAAGTATTTACATGTCTGTATGTGAACAAACGCTGTGTTTTCCAGTCTGCTGATTGAGCTGGAGTTCAGTCAGTCGTAAAGCAGACCCTGACCCCAGTTACCAGAGCGTCCGGCTCACAGATTGCATCTTACAGCACACAGCCGTGAATCAAACGCACTGCTTTATTACCGCACGGAAATGACATGAGCTGATGCACCTCAAATGGCCTTTCATTTCATTTCAAGCTATAAATGTAAAACATGGGTTTGTGGCACAAAAGAACTGTGAGGAGTCCTCACAGCCGAAAAGTAAAGATTATTGATGACTATTTTCATTATTGTAAATGCTGTTGGGGATTAAATGACCAGAGTTTTTTTTGTTGTTGCTTATCATCACTTTTGATAGATTTCACCTAGTGCTGTCAAACGATTAATCGCAATTAATCGCATACAAAATAAAAGTTTTTTTTGTTTGCATAATATATGTGTGTGTACTGTGTATATTTATTATGTATATATAAATACACACACATACAGTATATATTTTGAAAATATTTACAAGTATTTACATGTCTGTTTATATTCATATAAATTATATTATAAATAAATATATTTAATATATAAACATATTTTTCTGAAATATATACATGCATATGTGTGTATTTATATATACATAATAAATATACACAGCAAACTTTTATTTTGGATGCGATTAATCGCGATTAATCGTTTGACGGCACTAATTTCAACTTAATTTAGCATTTTATCATCACATTAAATGTATATTTTAATTTACATTTTTATTTTACATATTAATTAAAACATTATTTAATGTTTATCCTTATTTAGAACCCTTTAGAGAATCCCTATAGTGCTAAGAGAAACATGAATGTTTGTGAATATGTAGTGCTTTAGTCCGGTGCTTCCATCTCAATAATTTCAATGCTATTGGTTGAAAAATATTTATGATGGAGCACAAATAGTTAGATATGCTAGATCAAATTACAGTGGTGCTAGTAACAGTGAAGCGTTTATGTGAGGTTTTAGCTAATTAATATGGAATCATTTAGTGTTTTATGTGATGCATTCCACTTTTATGTTCTTTGTCAGATTGATTCTTACGGTGGAGGATCAGTGTGTGCTGAACGCGGTTTGAGACGCTGACTGTGAGCCCTTCATGGGCGGCTCAGGGTCAGATGTATGTGACGGCTCAAGGCGAGCGGGGATGATTTGTTGGGTCACTGCGTCTAGCGGTGGCTCGTGAATCAGCCGCTGGAGCTGAAAGGTCATGCGTTTGCTCTGTTGCAGGTGTGATGAAGGCTTCACCGGCTCAGACTGCCAGACGCTCAACACTCTGGCCTCCAGTGTGCTCTCAGACTTCGAGTCGCAGGAGACCCTGGTGTCAGCGTGGCAGGAGGCGACCGGAGGCGAGGTCGTGCCGCCCGACCAGGGCTGTGGGGTGGTTTCCTCCGGGTCCTCTCTGTACTTCAGCAGGGTATGATAACAGCCCTGTTACAGAACGAGTATTCAGCTGGACTCTTTCTGCTTGCTTCTGCTTGTTTGGCTTCTCCAGTCTCTTTTTCGTAAAGGAAGTCTGTATTGTGATTTTTCCTAAACTTTATTTCGTTTTCTGATAAGGCATACACTTCAACAGATGTGAGGCACAGTACAAATAACACTACAGTACATTTAAATATACACAAATAAGTAGACACAAAACAATGTCAAAGATGTCAAAGATAAATATCCCTGAATATATGAATCTCTAGAAAATCAATGAAAATGTCACAGAAATATGATAGAGTGCGTAAGACCAGTATAAAGTGATCATATTCCCTAATCTAATACAGGCTTCAATATTTTCCTAAATAAATGTAACTTGTCAACTTCTGTATTCTTGTAAGCTTGTGTTGATGTGAAATCTTCAACATAAAAGATTCCTTCATATTTGGTTCTGATCCCCCAGTGTCCTTTTCATTTAGTTAATTCACAGGCCTTGTTCTTGAACTTCAGTGTTCTGTGAGAGATGAAAACTATGAGTGAAACAAAATCTAGTGTGAATCTGGAGTGAAAACCCGTTTCATCATGACGTAAAGTGAGACTCTAGATGACAGTGTTGTCTGTGATCGCTGGTATTATGTGACAGAGGCTGTGTAACTCTCGTTGGTCATCAGGCTGGGCTGCGGCAGCTGGTCAGCTGGGATCTGGACACGGAGTGGGCGGAGTTTGTGCAGTTCTACCTGCGGATGGGCGGAGACGGGGCGGAGTGTAACCAGGCCGACAGCAGAGAGGAGGGGCTTCTGCTGCAGTACAGCAATGATGGTGGAATCAGCTGGGGTCTGATCGCAGAGATGTACTTCACTGACTTCACCAAACCACGGTCAGAACAGCGCAGAACAACTCAGTCAATAATGCTCTGTTTGTTTAAGATTTTTACTTTAAAAATGAGGAATTCCAGGATCAAACTACATGTAATACATCCAAACAATTCATCCTCTCTTAATTTTTTTTTGCCTGGAGTCATTTGAAAGATAATGAGCAGGCATTACGCAACGCCCAACCCCAGCTCTTTAATGCAGCACAGCTGGCAAAAGAAAAGGCCTATTTAAACTAAGGATCTGTTCATGCAGAACAAGTTCTGGTGTTTATAACAAGTGTGCGACGCAGCAGAATGGAAGTAGACATGAACTCAGGGTTCTTGAGATGTGTTTTTAAAAGCTGAGCATCTTTTCAAAGAGCAGTGCAGTGGAATGTAATAACACATTCTGTGTGACGCGGCCATAACAGTGATTTCAATACTGCAGCTAGTTATTTTATCGAACCATCTGATATATGTGACCCTGGACCACAAAACCCAGTCATAAGGGTCAATTTTTTTGTATTGATTTTTTGCTTTCCATTGATGTGTGGTTTGTTAGGATAGGACAATATCTGGCTGAGATATACAGTAACTATTTGAAAATCTGGAATCTGAGGGTGCAAAAAAAAATCTAAATATTGAGAAAATCATCTTTAAAGTTGTTCAGATGAAGTTCTTAGCAATGCATATTACTAATCAAACATTAAGTTTTGATATATTTACGGTAGGAAATTTACAAAATATCTTCATGCAACATGATCTTTACTTAATATCCTAATGATTTTTGGCATAAAAGAGAAATGTATAATTGTGACCCATACAATGTATTGTTGGCTATTGCTACAAATATCCCCCAGCGACTTAACACTGCTTCTGTGCTGCAGAGACACATATTTCTGTGAGTGTCACGTCCACCGTACTGTGTATTTAGCATCTTTATGTGAATGTATTCTGAGTGTTTGTGACTGGATGATGTTGTTTGGCTCAGGTTTGTTCATTATGAACTTCCTCTGGCCTCTAAAACGCCCTGCACGCGTTTCCGCTGGTGGCAGCCGCTGCACTCGGGCGAGGGCTACGATCAGTGGGCCATCGATGACGTGATCATCCTGTCTGAGCGAGAGAAGCACGTCATCCCCATGGCCGATCCTACACTGCCTCAGGTGAGACGGACACAAGCGCATTCTGCTGCAGCGCTCCTGAAGATACGACAGAGCTCTGATTCTCCTGTGCTTCTGCAGAACTTCTACGAGAAACCGGCTTTCGATCATCCGCTCAACCAGATGAGCGTGTGGCTGATGCTGGGAAATGAAGGAATGGACAAGGACCGTAACGGGAGTTTCTGCGCTCCCACTCCCTCTGCACTAGTGTTCGGCCGGTCGGACGGGGACCGGATGGCAGTGACCCGAGACCTGGCGCTCCGTCCCGGATACACGCTGCAGTTCAAGGTACTGATGCAAGGCTGCGTGGAGGAACTCTTGTTTTTCATAAGCATGAAATACTTTATAAAGCTCTCAACTGATTAAAAAATGCAATCACATTAATTATATAATAAACTGATTAATTAACCCAATTAACTGCAAATAAAAGAGAAGCCCCCAAATCATCAAACACTGTAGCACAGCAAGACTTCATATGGAGTTTTTTCTGCGCTGCTTTTTAACATTGGCAAATTAAAATTGACTGAATTTAAAGCTGAATCCATTTTCTAAATGCATGTTATAGACCTTATTGTGAATAAACAATCCATTTTTAATTGGTCCCCATCATTTTTCATCAGAATGTCATAACTGGTTCTTCTCTGTGGTGACATGTGCAGGATTTCTCCAATCATTTAGTGCTCTTAAACTCCGCCCCTCAAGCTTATGCACATCTGCATACACATTTGAGTGACACGCCCACCTCTCAACATCCAATCAACAACCGATGCACAGAACACGTTCTACCCTACATTTATTTTTGATAATCCATTACACTCGGATATACGTCACAATATGGAAGAAACAATGTGTTGCTGCTTTATTTTTATTGCAGCTTTAATTGTCGGTGTAAACATACGTCAGACGGACGTCTTTGTTTGCGTGTGGTTTGAAGCATGTCACATGCAGCATCAGCATCATCTGCTGACTGCAGACTCACAATAACAGCGCTTTTGCTTTGCTGTGTGTGTGTGTGTGTGTGTGTCTCTGTGTGTGTGTGTGTGTGTGTGTGTGTGTGAGAGAGTGTGTGAGAGAGTGTGTGTGTGTGTGTGTGTGAGTGTGTGTGTGTGTGTGTGTGTGTGTGTGTGTGTGAGTGCGCATTCACTTTTTTGTTTGTGCACTTTAGTTTTTGTTGTCACCTTCATGTAAATCTTCAGGAATACATTTTTGTTCAAAGGACCTTGAACTTTGCCTTTTGTTTGGTGTGCAGATTTTTTGCCTTTGCTTTTTGTATGTTTCTCTATTCACTGAATCTACACACCCAATTATAAACATATTCTTTTTATTTTACTTGATTGGCACATATTTTTTTCATATTTCTACAGTGTAGACAGCGCAGTAACGTTGTTCTGTTTCTCCTTCAGCTGAACATCGGCTGTGAGTCGGTCTTCAGTGCGTCTGCACCCGTGCTGCTCCAGTACTCTCATGACGCGGGCCGCACATGGGCTCTGGTGCGGGAGGGCTGTTACCCAGCATCCCCTGGGGCCGCGAGCTGCGAGGGCAGCAGACGTGAACTCAGAGAGCCCACTGTGTACCACACAGGAGACTACGAGCGCTGGACCAGAGTCACCGTCGTATTGCCACGGATCGTAGCCGCCAGGTAACTGGACCCTGGGATTGTTCTGAGAACAGGGTCCGAACGTGGATTCATACTGTCAGAGACATGGGGATATTTCTAAAGAACAGTTATTTAAAATATTTTTGGTAAGATTTTCTAAATGCTTTATAGGCATTTCTTTACGCCGCAGGCAAATATCCCAGGGGTTATTTTTTTGGTAGTAATATGCATTAATTCATGCTTAACGAATGCACAGATAATCATGAATTAATGTGTAACTCATGAAGAACTAAACCATTTATTAATAATTACTGCATCAGCAACAGATGAAAATTATGTTATGACTACTTGTTGAGGCACATGACTAACTAATTCAAAATCCATAACCCACAATAACATATTACTTCATTAGTTAATAGTTGTGTGCCTCAACAAGTAAAGTCATAACATAATGATACCTTTGCAAATCATTAGCTAATGATTAGTTAAAGCAGACAACTGGAAGTTTAAGTACATAGCCTTGGCCACTGTGCTAATTAACATGTGAATTTACATAATTAGTTAATATAATATGTTATTAGGGAACTAATACATTATGACAAATTTAACTAAGAACATTTAATTTATTACTTAATCTATGAATCATACAGAATGTTCATTAGTTGCTGATGTAGGAATCATGAATAAATGGTTTAGTTCTTCATGAGTTATACATTAACTCGTGATTATCTGTGCATTAGTTAAACATGAACTAATGCACGTTTGTGCAGCCGTATTGTAAAGTTTTACCTTTTTTCTCAAGGTAACGATTATTATAATGATTGTAGCCTCAGTTTTGGTGAGCTCATGCGTGTGATCTCTATATTCCCGTGTAATTTTCAGCAAGACGCGCTTCCGCTGGTTCCAGGAGAGCAGTGTCTATCGGGACGCCCCTGCGTTTGCGCTGGATGGCGTCTACATCTCTGAGCCCTGTCCCAATCACTGCGGCGGTCACGGAGACTGCATCTCAGGCGTCTGCTTCTGCGATATGGGATACACAGGTAACACTCACATGTTGAATATCTCTGTCTCTATTTTGGTGAGGCACCACCAGTGCTGGGGAAAGATACTTTTAAAAGTAATGCATTACAATATTGCATTACTCCCTAAAAAAGTAACTAATTACGTTACTTAGTTACTTTTTATAGAAAAAATGTGTTATGATACTTTTGAGTTACTTTTTAAATCTGGGCAGGGCTTGCTTGTTTGTTTTTAATATAAAAAGGTCTATTTTTGGCAAATGTAAAAGAACTTTCACACCAAAAGTGAAATGAATGCGCCTCGGGCTGAAGGAAATGTACATTCAGAGGGCCCAGCTCAAACAAATTGCATAAAGAATATGACGAAATATGAAGAAAGTTCAATATTATTCTGCAATAACAAAAATAATTTTGTGTCATTTTTGCTTATTAGTACGGTTGAATTGGATCTTCGAATGTCAATAGCAATGACATTGTTTAATAAAATGGGATTAAATACATAAATGATATTGTCTTATTTTTGCAGATTTATATAATATCCCAAGTTTGCATTGGACAGTATGTATTGATTGTGAGGAGCACTGAATGTGTTTGTGTGCAGTGAGATGAGTAAACACATGTTGATATTGAGTCTAGAGCTACAGTAAGATCATGTTCACACACAACACTCTGCACTCACTCCTGATTTCTGTCTCCATGGCAACACCAGAGCTGTCACTCAACACATGGAAACAAAGTAACTATGTTACTGATTTGAAAAAGTAACTCAGATATTTCCTTCTAAATTAAAAAGTAATGCGTTACTTTACTAGTTACTTTAAAAAGTAATCTGATTACATAACTCGCGTTACTTGTAATGCGTCCCCCCCAACACTGAGCACTACTATATGTGATGTTATAGATTGTTGTCATGTTCATGTATGTTTGGTTATGTTTGTGTTTGCGGCGGTCAGTGGAGGTGGACCGGTCCAGCTGTGTCCCGTCTTCTCCGAGTCCCACTGAACTGGTGGAGGATTTCGAGGGGAAGCTGAGCCCGCTGTGGCAGAGCCTGAGCGGAGGACAGATCGGTGACGGCTGCGGGAGCATCAGCGAAGGGAAAGCTCTGTACTTCAGCAGCCTGGGCAGACGAGAGGCTCGCACCACGCCGCTGGACACCACCCACACCCGGTCAGTGCCACGACACTGCTGGACGCTCGCAAACAGTGAAGCTTTAGACCTTCACGTGACACCAACCGTGTGTTACATGTTCACTGCTTGTGTTTGTTTTCTCCCTAACTCATGTAGAACACTCTGTTGCCTTCTGTTTTCTTCTTCCGTACAGTTTGGTTCAGTTCTACATTCGTGTCGGAGGGAAAAACATGGGCTCCACCTGCACTCGTCCCCGCTCCCGAAATGAAGGTGAATGTTGTGGACTTCAGTAACGGCTGATCTGCAGTACATTGAAAAAAAATCTACTGTAGGATTTACAGTAAACAAACTGGTAGCCATAATTTTACCGTAAAAACTAAAGTAGCAACATTTTAGGTTTTACGGATTTAACTTAAATTTACATTTAAATACCGTAATTTCATTAACTGATATAATGTTAATATACTGTACCAACCTGTTAAAGTACTGAAATCTGTTTAGTACATTTGTATTACACTGATAACCACTAAAAGCAGGTGGTGGTGAGAAAGTCACATGATGAATCAAAGCTCATCACAAATAGCTTTTCCACAAGCTGATAAAGAAAATACTAATATATATATAGAAGGTGTCATTCACACAAATACCAAACACAATCATGTTAAAGGGATAGTTCACCCAAAAATGGAAATTCTGTCATTAATTACTCACCCTCATGTCGTTCCAAACCCGTAAGACTTTCGTTCATCTTCGGAACACAAATTAAGATATTTTTGATGAAATCCGAGAGCTCTCTGACCCTCCAGAGACAGCAAGGATCCTAACACCATCAAGGTCCAGAAAGGTAGCTGCGTCATGCGGATACATTGTTTTCATTCAGATCAAAGCGTAAACAACGTAGACAGCGTATCCGCGTGACGCAGCTGACACACAACAGCATTCGTTGTTTACGTTCAGTGGAATGTAATACAGGTGAATAAAGTCGTTATTTTTGTTTTCTTTGCGCACAAAAAGTATTCTCGTAGCTTTATAACATTACGGTTGAACCCCTGATGTCACATGGATTATTTTACCGATCTCCTTGCTATGTTTCTGGACCTTGATCATGTTAGGATCCTTGCTGTCTATGGAGGGTCAGACAGCTCTCATCAAAACTTTCTTTATATGTGTTCCGAAAATGAACGAAAGTCTTACGGGTTTGGAACGACATGAGGGTGAGTAATTAATGACAGAATTTCCATTTTTGGCTGAACTATTCCTTTAACACACATGGTACTGAAATAATGCAAGAAACATTAATTTACCAGCATGGTCCCACTTTATATTAAGTGTCCCTAATACCTGTGTACTTGCATAGTAACTAGATGTGTACGTAGTATGTAATCACAGTGTAAGTACACATTGGTACATAGTGTCTACAGCTGTAATGTTTGTATAACTACACATATGTAACAACCCACTGAATGGTATGTGTAAATACAAATGTGTAACAGGACTAACAGCACTTTTTGGTAAAGAAAGTGTTACACTTTATATTAAGTAAACAATTCCTACGGATTTACCATGTGATTACTCTGATGTTACACAGCAGCGGCCAGTAAGTTAGGCTTTACATATAAATTGTGGTTGGTGTCCAGAATGTTACACTTTATATTAAGTGGACAGTTACCATGTAAGTACACTACAGTGGAGCACCAACTCCTCCCACTTTACATATCCCCATCTCCACCCCTGGATCAAATGGTTCCGATTACGCTTATACATATTGTTGTTACAAAATTTAGTTATATATGTCCTGTTACACATTTGTACTTACACAAACCATTCGGAGGGTTGTTACATGTGTGTAGTTACAGAAATATTACAGCTGTGGATACTATGTACCAATGTGTACTTACACTGTGGTTACATACTACATACACATCTAGTTACTATGCAAGTACACAGGTATTAGGGCCACTAAATATAAAGTGGGACCGAAAAAACTAAGAAGAAACAGTTATTTCAACAACAAAAAAATCATCAAATGTGAAATGTAATTCTGGGAATGTCCATTTATGGTTTTTCACCGTATATAGTAAGGGAACTTACCGTTAACCAATTAATAGGTTTTTACTGTAGCATTTTTACAGTCTTTTACCGTTAAAATCACAATAATTTTTTACAGTGTAGGTCACATGGCCTGGACTGGAATATTGTCATCCTTTTAATGTCATTTGATGTCTATGTAAATCACACCAGCTTCAGCAGCTGGATGAGACGATCATGTACCAAAAATACTGCAGCTTGTGCCTTTTTCTCATTTTGTCAGTAATTCAGCAATTATTCCTTGCTTATGTTTGACAGGTGTGATTGTCCAGTTTTCCATAAACAATGGTGTTCAGTGGCAGCTCCTACGAGAGCTGGACTTTGGCTCGTTCCTGGAGCCTCAGGTGGTGACGATCGAGCTCCCGCCCGCGGCTAAGACCCCTCACACTGTGTTCCGCTGGTGGCAGCCGCAGCAGGGTGAGAACAGACCAGCGTCATGTGATGAACTTACTGATGCAGTGCCTGACAGGAGACATGTGTTCCTCTTTCTCAGGTAAACACTCGGCCCAGTGGGGTCTGGATAACGTTCTGATCGGAATGAACGACAGCGCTAGGAGTGGGTTCTTCGACACGTTTGATGGCACGTCTCCATTGAGACACAACTGGTATCGAGTCGTAGCTGGAGAGGTGACAGCAGACTGTCTGAGCCCAGACTCAGTGCTGAACTTCAACTCCGAGGTCATGGACAGTGAGTTAATCGCAACACACCCATAACCTCGTGTTCATCACAGACATTTATATGTGCATTTTCATCTGGAAAATGAGCCGTTTACTCATCTGCAATATGTTGCTACAACATTTTATGATGTGTGTGATGTCGAAGGAGTCTGAATTGGCTCCTTTGAACATGTTTATCAGATGCGTGTACACAATAATGTATTTAAATTCAGAATTAGATAACGTAAACTGACTGTGTACAAAGGGTGGCAAAATACTAAGTTGCTCAGGCTTCATTAAGGGGCAGTTTGTATTTGTATTTACAGCGGTGGCCAAAATGATTAGAACACTAGAATTTTCACCTGCTAAGTCAGTTACTTATTTCTATCTTTTGCTGTAGTGTGTCAGCAGGAAATATCAGTTTAGATTTCTAAACATTCATTTGGCCATTAATTGTAATAATGCAGTGAGATATATGTTAGTGCTGCACTCAGAGATGTGATCTGATCATCATCAGTCTGTCTGGAGTCACATGAAGAAACAGAACAAACTGAGACAGACTCAATCCAGAAGAACTGTGTCTCCGAGACGCTTCAAGAAACCTCCTGCGAAGCTCCTGAGAAACTCTGCTCAAGTGCACCGAGGGCAAACGCTGCTTTAAACACAAAGATGCTCACACCAAATGTTGATTTCATTTCGTTAATAAAGTTAAGTAATAAAGAAAATCTGTTTGCAAAGCTACAGTTCTTTTTAAAGTTTTAGGCACTTGTGTAAAAGGATGCTGTCAAAAACAATGTCATAAATAGATTTTCTTTATCAATTAGCTTCTATGAAATAAATTAAATCAACATTTGATGTGTGCAGCACTAACATCTCACTGCATTATTACAATTTATGGCTAAATGAATGTTTGGAAATGCAAACTGATATTTTCTGCTGACACACTACAGCAAAAGATAGAAATAACTGACTTGAAACCATTTTTAGCTGCTGAGAATAATGTTCTAATAATTTTGGCCACCGCTGTAGGTCTATCTTTAAAGAATTTCTATAAAAGTGACTTCACACTATACATACAAAGCCTTTTAGAAAGATGCACCCCTTCAGAACTGGATGGCTCAGACTTGCATCACAGAATCTGTATGATCTGACTGCAGCAGGGTTTAAGGTGATGAATGCTCTCTCTCTCTCTCTCTCTCTCTCTCTAGAGAGGCCGCGTTACGCTGAGAGCTGGGACTTCGAGGTGTCTGGCTCTTCGTTCCTGCAGTTTGATCTGAGCATGGGCTGCAGTAAGGCTGCGTCTCCGGCCCACGGCGTCCATCTGGAGTTCTCCACAGACTGCGGGAGACACTGGACACTCATCACGCCCGAGTGTGTGCCTCCGGCCATCGGCTGCTCCGGATACACACAGCAGTCCGTGTTCAGCGCTCCACAGTTCCTGCAGTGGAGGAGAGTCACCGTCTACCTGCCCAGCGCTGCCATGTAGGACCCGCTCCGACTCTTCACACAGAGGATCCTGTGACTGTCTCAGATGATTTATACATGCATAGTCTCACACTAAGGGCCAGATTTACTAAACGGCAAATTAGCGTTAGAGCGCAGTTCCATAAAAGCGCAGATGGGAGGGAAATTCTGCTGGTGATTTACTAACAATGCGCACATTATAGAACACAGATGCAGCAGATCATTTCCATAATAACCAGCTCAATCTACCAAGAGCAGCGCAAATTACCGCCTGCTTTAAGACATGCTTTTTTTGGGTGTTAAATAAAGGCACAAATACCAGGAATTTGACGAGTGCAAATGTCAGTAAATCACGTTGCATGATTCATTTTAATACTCTCCTCCCTGAAGGGAAACTCATACAAATGCATATTCAATAAGGCCAGGCACAAAAATAACTGTGTCCACAGCTTTTCAGCGCTAATGTTTCACTGCGTGTCTTTAGTAAATCCTGACAATAATTCACCATGGGTTTCATCAAGAATGTTCTATGGTTTTAATGGCATTTTTCAGTTCAAGAGTGAAATAAGGTGTGTGGTAAACATAACTTGATGAGACTTTGTTGTAAACATAAATTGCACACACACTCCAAACTTATTGAAAACATACGTTTTTAAAAACGGACATAACTGCTTCCAAATTTCTGTTTTCAGTATAGGTGTGTAATTTACGTTGTAGAATAAAACATCTGAGTATCATGAACTTATGTTTACCACAGACCTTGTTTTACTCATAAACAAAACAAAACATTATAAAACCTCATAGGAAAATCTCGAAAGAATCTTCTGAGTTTTGGCATCACAGCTGTGTAAGTTTGCATGTTTGAATGTTGTTCCCGATCCTGTAGTTCACCCAGAACACGGTTCCGCTGGATCCAGCCTCTCTTGGCTCCTGGAGCTGATGGCTGGGCGCTGGATAATGTGCTGCTGACGCCCGGCTGCCCGTGGATGTGCTCGGGTCATGGACTGTGTGACAACGGACACTGTGTGTGAGTGTGGACTCCAGCTGCTTTAGCTTCATATTCCTCACATGCTCCTCAGCGATCCTGCAGTCACGCTGGGTTTTCTCTCGCTCAGCTGTGATAAGGGCTTCGGCGGGCCGCACTGTGTGCCTCTAGTCGCTTTGCCGTCTGTTCTGAAGGAAGATTTCAATGAGAACCTGAGGGCTGATGTCTGGCCGGAGGTGTACGGCGCAGAGAGAGGCACGCTGAGCGGAGAGCCTCTGAAATCAGGAACGGCCCTCATCTTTAAAGGAGTGAGTATTGCAGTCAAACAGCTGTGATCTTCCAGTGAAAAGATAATCGAATCCTCCATCGTCGTAGCAGTAAAGGAACACTTGTTTTCAGCATTTATTCAATTGGTAACACGTTATTTTGAGTCCACTTTAGATGTTCTACTAACTGTAAGTAACTGTGCCGCTCCACGTCAGTGAGCAGTCGTTAGAGTATCAGTGACCGTCTGCTTAATATCTGCTCACACTTGATTTTGATGGACATTCTACTCACTATAAGTCACTTTGCACGTACATTTCAGCTTATTCTACTAACCCTAACCCTAAACTATCAAAGTTACTTCTAGTTCGTAGAATATCTAAAGTGGGCTATCGAAATAAATAAAGTGTTACCATTTCATGTAATTATATGTTGGTTTTGCAAGTCCCTCTAACACTTGCAATCTCTATTCTAATTCTATTTTATCTACTTGTTTTCTTTTTATTTATTATAAAAATGACCCTCTAACACTAGTGTTCTCTATTCTTTTTCTATTCGATCTACTTGTTTTATTGTTATTTATTATAAAATAAATAGATAGATAGAAAACCTTGCTACGTGTACTGCGTTAGGCTAACCAAGACTTGTTGCAGCACTTATATTTGTGTCCCTGCCGCACAAAAGCGGTGTTGAGTCGCTGGGGGATATCTGTAGCAATAGCCAACAATACATTGTATGGGTCACAATTATACATTTCTCTTTTATGCCAAAAATCATTAGGATATTAAGTAGAGATCATGTTCCATGAAGATATTTTGTAAATTTCCTACCATAAATATATCAAAACTTAATGTTCGATTAGTAATATGCATTGCTAAGAACTTAATTTGGACAACTTTAAAGATGATTTTCTCAATATTTAGATTTTTTTGCACCCTCAGATTCCAGATTTTCAAATAGCTGTATCTCGGTCAAATATTGCCCTATCCTAACAAACCATACATCAATGGAAAGCTTATTTATTCAGCTTTCAGAGGTTGTATACATCTCAAGACTCTTAAGACTGGTTTTGTGGTCCAGGGTCACATATTATTGCTCTTTTGTTGGTTTTGTTTGCTTCTTTTGTTCTCATTTGCAAGTCGCTTTGGATAAAAGCATCTGCTAAATGACTAAATTTAAATGTTATAGAAATGCATATTAAAACTTTCATAGAACTTTTCTACTATGGAGTTTGATCAGTAAATGAGACTGCCTTTGTGCCATGTGTTCCTGCAGGAGGGGCTGCGCATGCTGGTCTCAGCAGATCTAGACTGCACAAACACCATGTACATCCAGTTCTCATTCAAGTTCATAACAAAGGGTGAGTCTGGCGTGAAGCGTGCTGCATCTCCAGCTTTCCTGCTTGTCTTCTGTGAGCTGATGGGAATGAACGCACTGGTTGTAAACACATTATTTCTGTGTGTTTTACTCGCAGGTGTACCTGAGCGCTCTCACTCCGTGCTGCTGCAGTATTCAGTGAATGGAGGGATCAGCTGGCTGCTTATAGATGAGTTTTATTTCCCCACTTCCACAGACACGCTGTTTGTTCACATGTCTTTGCCTCCCAGCGCACAGACCAACTCTACACGCTTCAGACTGTGGCAGCCGTACAACAGTGGTAAGAAAACACAGTCATTCAAACTTACCCACATACACCTCGCTCAACCACAAATACATCACCAGTATAACGAGATGAGTTTGTGTTGTTCCATTATTGGAAATAGTACTGTTTACAAGGTCGGCAAGTGTGTGATCCCCAGTGTTTTAAAAGTCACGTTGTGTATTTCAGCCTTAAGATGACAAACAAATGTGCATTTGGTTCCAAAGCCCTAATGTCATCTAAATACCTCAAACAGTGCCAGCAAGTGACATGACGCTCTTGTTACTCAAGTGACATGAGTATATACTCTGTCTTTTTGTCATTGCTATAATTGTTACACTTGTCATTCTTCAAACCCTCAGGGAAGAAGGAAGAGGTGTGGGTGATTGATGACCTGATCATAGACGGCAACACCATCAATAGCTTGCCGGTTATATTAGACAGCTTTGAGGGAGGACCTCAGGAGGGGAACTGGCTGTTTTATCCTGGAGGAAACACTGGATTCTACTGCCCCTATCAGAGGGCAGGACTGTGAGTATCTGCATAGTGTTCACCTCACATCAGCACGCCATGTTCAAGCATATAAACTATAGTCAGCTCATGCCTCTGGATTTAAGCAGTATCAGCCCAGCTTCTGTCATCCAAACTCAACAGGATTCTGCATGTTCAGCCACAGAGCCTCTTGATGTTGGTCTCAGTGCTGAGAGAGAGCGATGGCATCATGTTAGTCTCACTGTGTTTGCAGCGAAGAGGACTCAGCCGTGGTGTTCATGTCCAGTGAGCTGGGTGAGCACTCCATCACCACACGAGATATTGATGTCAACGAGAACACCGTCATCCAGTTCGAGGTAGGGCTTTGCGTGATAGATGTTGGCATCTTTGTAACTGTAAGTTGTGGTAAGGAAGGTCGTTAGCTACTGTATGATTCCTGTTCTAGATTAATGTGGGCTGCACAACTGAAAGCTCTTCCTTGAACCCTGTGCGTCTGGAGTTTTCTCGAGATTTCGGAGCCACGTGGCATCTGCTGGTTCCTCTGTGTGCCGGAGGGCCCCGACTCAGCTCTCTCTGCTCGACTGAGCTCCACCCGGCCAGTGTCTACTATCCCGGCACCACGCAGAGCTGGAGGAGAGAAATGATCCAGTTCGGCAAGCTGCGGTTGTGCGGGTCAGCGAGTGACGCTTGTGTGTTTTTACGGTTCACTGCTGTGTGTTGGGTGTGTGACGGTGTTTCTGTGCTCTCAGCTCAGTGCGGTTCCGCTGGTATCAGGGGTTTTATTCAGGCGGCGCGGCTCCGCCCACATGGGCCCTGGACAGCGTGTACATCGGCCCTCAGTGCCAGAACATGTGTAAAGGCCACGGCGTGTGTGTGCGCGGCACTCACTGCAGCTGCGATCCGGGTTACTCTGGTCCCGACTGCTCCGTTCCAGACGTGCCAAACCTGGATTTCCTGAAGGAGGATTTCGAAGGTACAGAAGCAAACAGATGTTTACAGTATGCTGTTATTTGACAGTGGTTAGCTGAGTAACAACTCTAGATATCATGATATGTTTGCATTTGAAACACATTTGTAAGAATAGAGTCATGATATTTCAAACACATATTATGGCATTTGGACACTCAAGTCACACTGAAAATATCTGATAGCCACTGTATGATGTATTAAATATCTCTTCAGGAAGTCAAACTACCAGTGAGCTGCTTATACTGGGACAGCAGAACTCATTTCTTAACATCAAAAAATACATGCTGCTTCCAGCCTAAAGTTGACTTCTATGTTAACAATGATTTGGGGATTAATATAAAGTTATTTAATGGGAAATTATGTGAGTGGTGCTCATGTAGTGTGGTATGGCTAAGAAAACTGAAAATGAATAACAGCTATCTCTTCCAAGATTTTTGCCTCTATGTCGAGGTATTTATGCTTGTTGTCTGTTACTTTTATCACAAAGAAGTTGCACTGAATTTCGTTGTACAGCTGTGCAATGACAATAAAGGCATTCTGATTCTGCTCCTCATAACCGTACATTAAACATGAAGTATCTTCACAGTGATTGTGTCATGGTGTGCAGCAGATTCACATTCACTGTGGACAGACAAATAGCTTGCAGTGTATATTTCTCGAAAGAGAAGCTTGACTAGAGCAGATTCATTGGGATTTGTCTGTGTATAAAAATTGTCTATTTTATTGATTGTGTCCCATAGGTGGGGTTTTGGAGTCTGAACATTTCAAGTTGATGAGTGGAGGAAAGCCTTCCAGAAAGTGTGGCATCACCACCAGCGGGAACCACCTGTTCTTCAGTGAGGACGGTTTGCGAATGCTGGAGACATTAGATCTGGACCTGTCTAATGCTAGGTATTCCACAAACACACCAGATGGTTCACTGTGAAAGATGCCCTTCACGCCATCAGTAATGTTGGAGATGTGTGTGTCCTGCTCAGGTTTATCCAGTTCTTCCTGAGGCTGGGCTGCGGTAAAGCGGCTCCTGACCCGCGCTCCCAGCCGGTGCTCCTGCAGTTCTCTGTGGATGGAGGTCTGAACTGGGCTCTCCTGCAGGAGTTCCTCTACAGCAACAGCAGTAACCAGGCTCACCTGGTAAACATTCATTTGGCCATTAATTGTAATAATGCAGTGAGATATATGTTAGTGCTGCACTCAGAGATGTGATCTGATCATCATCAGTCTGTCTGGAGTCACATGAAGAAACAGAACAAACTGAGACAGACTCAATCCAGAAGAACTGTGTCTCCGAGACGCTTCAAGAAACCTCCTGCGAAGCTCCTGAGAAACTCTGCTCAAGTGCACCGAGGGCAAACGCTGCTTTAAACACAAAGATGCTCACACCAAATGTTGATTTCATTTCGTTAATAAAGTTAAGTAATAAAGAAAATCTGTTTGCAAAGCTACAGTTCTTTTTAAAGTTTTAGGCACTTGTGTAAAAGGATGCTGTCAAAAACAATGTCATAAATAGATTTTCTTTATCAATTAGCTTCTATGAAATAAATTAAATCAACATTTGATGTGTGCAGCACTAACATCTCACTGCATTATTACAATTTATGGCTAAATGAATGTTTGGAAATGCAAACTGATATTTTCTGCTGACACACTACAGCAAAAGATAGAAATAACTGACTTGAAACCATTTTTAGCTGCTGAGAATAATGTTCTAATAATTTTGGCCACCGCTGTAGGTCTATCTTTAAAGAATTTCTATAAAAGTGACTTCACACTATACATACAAAGCCTTTTAGAAAGATGCACCCCTTCAGAACTGGATGGCTCAGACTTGCATCACAGAATCTGTATGATCTGACTGCAGCAGGGTTTAAGGTGATGAATGCTCTCTCTCTCTCTCTCTCTCTCTCTCTCTAGAGAGGCCGCGTTACGCTGAGAGCTGGGACTTCGAGGTGTCTGGCTCTTCGTTCCTGCAGTTTGATCTGAGCATGGGCTGCAGTAAGGCTGCGTCTCCGGCCCACGGCGTCCATCTGGAGTTCTCCACAGACTGCGGGAGACACTGGACACTCATCACGCCCGAGTGTGTGCCTCCGGCCATCGGCTGCTCCGGATACACACAGCAGTCCGTGTTCAGCGCTCCACAGTTCCTGCAGTGGAGGAGAGTCACCGTCTACCTGCCCAGCGCTGCCATGTAGGACCCTCTCCGACTCTTCACACAGAGGATCCTGTGACTGTCTCAGATGATTTATACATGCATAGTCTCACACTAAGGGCCAGATTTACTAAACGGCAAATTAGCGTTAGAGCGCAGTTCCATAAAAGCGCAGATGGGAGGGAAATTCTGCTGGTGATTTACTAACAATGCGCACATTATAGAACACAGATGCAGCAGATCATTTCCATAATAACCAGCTCAATCTACCAAGAGCAGCGCAAATTACCGCCTGCTTTAAGACATGCTTTTTTTGGGTGTTAAATAAAGGCACAAATACCAGGAATTTGACGAGTGCAAATGTCAGTAAATCACGTTGCATGATTCATTTTTAATACTCTCCTCCCTGAAGGGAAACTCATACAAATGCATATTCAATAAGGCCAGGCACAAAAATAACTGTGTCCACAGCTTTTCAGCGCTAATGTTTCACTGCGTGTCTTTAGTAAATCCTGACAATAATTCACCATGGGTTTCATCAAGAATGTTCTATGGTTTTAATGGCATTTTTCAGTTCAAGAGTGAAATAAGGTGTGTGGTAAACATAACTTGATGAGACTTTGTTGTAAACATAAATTGCACACACACTCCAAACTTATTGAAAACATACGTTTTTAAAAACGGACATAACTGCTTCCAAATTTCTGTTTTCAGTATAGGTGTGTAATTTACGTTGTAGAATAAAACATCTGAGTATCATGAACTTATGTTTACCACAGACCTTGTTTTACTCATAAACAAAACAAAACATTATAAAACCTCATAGGAAAATCTCGAAAGAATCTTCTGAGTTTTGGCATCACAGCTGTGTAAGTTTGCATGTTTGAATGTTGTTCCCGATCCTGTAGTTCACCCAGAACACGGTTCCGCTGGATCCAGCCTCTCTTGGCTCCTGGAGCTGATGGCTGGGCGCTGGATAATGTGCTGCTGACGCCCGGCTGCCCGTGGATGTGCTCGGGTCATGGACTGTGTGACAACGGACACTGTGTGTGAGTGTGGACTCCAGCTGCTTTAGCTTCATATTCCTCACATGCTCCTCAGCGATCCTGCAGTCACGCTGGGTTTTCTCTCGCTCAGCTGTGATAAGGGCTTCGGCGGGCCGCACTGTGTGCCTCTAGTCGCTTTGCCGTCTGTTCTGAAGGAAGATTTCAATGAGAACCTGAGGGCTGATGTCTGGCCGGAGGTGTACGGCGCAGAGAGAGGCACGCTGAGCGGAGAGCCTCTGAAATCAGGAACGGCCCTCATCTTTAAAGGAGTGAGTATTGCAGTCAAACAGCTGGGATCTTCCAGTGGAGAATTTCTGCACTGCATTATGCATCGAGTCCTCCATCGTCACAGCAGTTAAGGACCACTTGTTTCCAGCATTTCACGAACAGAGTAAAGGTTATGTGTATTTGGCTCCGAGCCCAGAGTACCCCCCCCACAGGTTAGGATAGGGTTAGTTGTAAGGGTGGAGATGGGGAGGTGGAGGGATGCTGGAAAACTGTCAAGGAACAGAGGTAGATCTGCTGTGTATACACACACCTCTTATCTTGTTAATTATGTTGATTACTGAGTGTGCTCCTTTTGTGTTAATTAGGTTAATTATCTGAACGTGCTCCTCCTGAACTTTGTTAATAAAACATAATTTATTTAATGAGTAACACATTATTTAAACAGTCCACTTTAGACATTCTACTAACTATAAGTATCTTTGCAACTTTGTCAACTAGCAGTCATTAGTAGACTGTCTGCCTCATATCTGCTCACACTTTATTTTGAGGGACATTCTACTGACTATTAAAGTCACTTTGCAAGTATATTACAATTTATTCTACTAAACCTAACAGTCTGATAATGCTCTAAAGAGAGCTAGTTGACAGAGTTGCAAAGTTATAGTAAGTAGAATGTCTAAAGTGGGCTATCGAAATAAAGTGTTAAGATTTCATGTAATTACATGTTGGTTTTGCAAGTATGAGTGCATAATAAACTTTCATAGAACTTTTCTGTAATGGAGTTTTATGAGTAAATGAAAAGAGATCAGTTTTCTCTATTTTGTATGTTCCTGCAGGAGGGACTGCGCATGCTGGTCTCAGCAGATCTAGACTGCACAAACACCATGTACATCCAGTTCTCATTCAAGTTCATAACGAAGGGTGAGTCTGGCGTGAAGCGTGCTGCATCTCCAGCTTTCCTGCTCGTCTTCTGGGAGCTGATGGGAACGAACGCACTGGTTGTAAACACAGTATTTCTGTGTGTTTTACTCGCAGGCGTACCTGAGCGCTCTCACTCCGTGCTGCTGCAGTATTCAGTGAATGGAGGGATCAGCTGGCTGCTTATAGATGAGTTTTATTTCCCCACTTCCACAGACACGCTGTTTGTTCACATGTCCTTGCCTCCCAGCGCACAGACCAACTCTACGCGCTTCAGACTGTGGCAGCCGTACAACAGTGGTAAGAAAACACAGTCATTCAAACTTACCCACATACACCTCGCTCAACCACAAATACATCACCAGTATAACGAGATGAGTTTGTGTTGTTCCATTATTGGAAAGTGAGAACCATGACAGGATAATTGGCTCTGTGAGAAGAATTGTAATGCACAAAGGCTGGCATACACTACACAACATTTGGCCAGATTTTTGCACCGATTTACAGACTGGATGCAGAGTCAATGCTAGTAGTTGAAAGTCAACCCCAGTCTGCAGTTTTGAGTTGACAGATTTCATAGAAAATTGAGTAGTGCACAGACTCCGATTATCTGATTCCATCCAGCTGGAAATCAAACATGTTTTATATTTTGAGCTGATTTTGGAAGACATATCGTTTTAATGTGTTGCACGTATCCTTGCAATAAGGCACATTGAGTCTGGTATTTTATGATGCTCAGTTTCCTCTGTAACTGTTTTCAAAGTCGTCATTGCTATAATTGTTACACTTGTCATTCTTCAAACCCTCAGGGAAGAAGGAAGAGGTGTGGGTGATTGATGACCTGATCATAGACGGCAACACCATCAATAGCTTGCCGGTTATATTAGACAGCTTTGAGGGAGGACCTCAGGAGGGGAACTGGCTGTTTTATCCTGGAGGAAACACTGGATTCTACTGCCCCTATCAGAGGGCAGGACTGTGAGTATCTGCATAGTGTTCACCTCACATCAGCACGCCATGTTCAAGCATATAAACTATAGTCAGCTCATGCCTCTGGATTTAAGCAGTATCAGCCCAGCTTCTGTCATCCAAACTCAACAGGATTCTGCATGTTCAGCCGCTGAGCCTCCAGCTCTTGATGTTGATGTTTAAAATTATTTTTTATTTTTTTAGTGCTGTCAAATGATTAATCGCATCCAAAATAAAACTTTTTGTTTACATAATATATGTATGTGTGCTGTGTATATTTATTATGTATATATAAATACACACACATTCATGTATATATTTCAGAAGATTATGTTATGTTTATATATTAAATAATAAAAAAATATATATAAATTATATGAATATAAATATAGACGTGTAAATACATGTAAATATTTTCAAAATATATACATGCATGTGTGTGTATTTATATATACATAATAAATATACACAGAACACACACACATATATTATGCAAACAAAAACATTTATTTTGGACGCGATTTTGACAGCACTAGTTTTTTTTAACCGAACTTAAACATGTAATTTATTCTCCTACATATTTTATTTACTTAATCAGATTTATCAAACACAAGAATGTAATAAAATTCAAGATATAAAATTATAAAATGATATAAATGTATTTATTTATATATTAATTAAATAATTTGCATAAATTTAATACAATTATTCATTAATAAAATTTGCTATATCATTTAAAAGAAAAATACCAAATACTAAACATATCATTTTTAATTACAGTGATGAAAATGTATGTAATTTCTTTCATTTAATTATATAACGTATAATACACCCAATTTTTCATGATTATATATTCATATTAATTACAGCAATTATAATAATTCTATATTATATTATTGTGTATATTTTATTTTGTTATTAAAATGTAATAATTATAAATGTTCATCAGTGTAATTACTTCTATTATATATATATATATCATTTTTTTTAATATCTTTTTTTACATTACAATTATAATCAATCCCCTTCCCCCTGATGTTGATGTTGGTCTCAGTGCTGAGAGAGAGCGATGGCATCATGTTAGTCTCACTGTGTTTGCAGCGAAGAGGACTCAGCCGTGGTGTTCATGTCCAGTGAGCTGGGTGAGCACTCCATCACCACACGAGATATTGATGTCAACGAGAACACCGTCATCCAGTTCGAGGTAGGGCTTTGCGTGATAGATGTTGGCATCTTTGTAACTGTAAGTTGTGGTAAGGAAGGTCGTTAGCTACTGTATGATTCCTGTTCTAGATTAATGTGGGCTGCACAACTGAAAGCTCTTCCTTGAACCCTGTGCGTCTGGAGTTTTCTCGAGATTTCGGAGCCACGTGGCATCTGCTGGTTCCTCTGTGTGCCGGAGGGCCCCGACTCAGCTCTCTCTGCTCGACTGAGCTCCACCCGGCCAGTGTCTACTATCCCGGCACCACGCAGAGCTGGAGGAGAGAAATGATCCAGTTCGGCAAGCTGCGGTTGTGCGGGTCAGCGAGTGACGCTTGTGTGTTTTTACGGTTCACTGCTGTGTGTTGGGTGTGTGACGGTGTTTCTGTGCTCTCAGCTCAGTGCGGTTCCGCTGGTATCAGGGGTTTTATTCAGGCGGTGCGGCTCCTCCCACATGGGCCCTGGACAGCGTGTACATCGGCCCTCAGTGCCAGAACATGTGTAAAGGCCACGGCGTGTGTGTGCGCGGCACTCACTGCAGCTGCGATCCGGGTTACTCTGGTCCCGACTGCTCCGTTCCAGACGTGCCAAACCTGGATTTCCTGAAGGAGGATTTCGAAGGTACAGAAGCAAACAGATGTTTACAGTATGTTGTTATCTGACATGATATTTCATAGTCATCATATTTCAAACATTAAAGTGGCTGCAAAAAGTGTTTGGGCACACTTAAGTCACACTGAAAATGTCTGTTCTAGTAAAAAAGTAATCTATTTAAAATAAATTTCATAGTAAGTATAGTTCAAATCTACTAATATATCTACTGACATATCGTTTGAAACTTACTGATATAAAAATTATAATTCAACTTTATTTGGAGTTCTACTTGTGCATAATGCGCACGCCTATAATGTGTTTGAATGTCACTATTGATGAGGATGAGGAAAATTATGTGAGTGGTGCTCAGTGGTTTTGAACCTTAGGATGCTCTTGGCCCTCCAGCAGTCACCTGAACGTTGTGTCTTAAACAGAGAAAATTAATAACAGCTGGCTCTTCCAAGATTTGTATCACAAGAAACTACTTTGACACAAGAAGCAACAAGACATTTAGTTGATGTTTTCTCTTTCTGCAGCGTTGGACTGCGTAGCCCTGCTCTCATGAAAGCTTGTTGGTGCAATACATATTACACACGGGATTGTGCAATATACTTTCTACTGCTTATTTATTTATCTGTTTTTGCCGCTATGTCGAGCTGATTGTTGTGTGTTACTCTTTATTCTGTGTTTTGCATTCTGCTTGTTGTGTGTTACTTTTACCGTAAAGGAGTTGCACTGGCTTTCGTTGTACAGCTGTGCAGTGACATGAAAGGCATTCTGATTCTGCTCCTCATAACCGTACAGTAAACAGGATGCATCTTCATGGTGATTGATGCATTGCTATTTGTCTGTGTATAAAAAATTGTCCATTTTATTATTGATTGTGTCACATAGGTGGGGTTTTGGAGTCTGAATACTTCAAGTTGATGAGTGGAGGAAAGCCTTCCAGAAAGTGTGGCATCACCACCAGCGGGAACCACCTGTTCTTCAGTGAGGACGGTTTGCGAATGCTGGAGACATTAGATCTGGACCTGTCTAATGCTAGGTATTCCACAAACACACCAGATGGTTCACTGTGAAAGATGCCCTTCACGCCATCAGTAAAGTTGGAGATGTGTGTGTCCTGCTCAGGTTTATCCAGTTCTTCCTGAGGCTGGGCTGCGGTAAAGCGGCTCCTGACCCGCGCTCCCAGCCGGTGCTCCTGCAGTTCTCCGTGGATGGAGGTCTGAACTGGGCTCTCCTGCAGGAGTTCCTCTACAGCAACAGCAGTAACCAGGCTCACCTGGTGGCCCTGGAGATCCCTCTCCGAGCGCGAACCTCAGCTACACGCCTGCGCTGGTGGCAGCCGTCTGAGAACGGACACTTCCACAGCCCCTGGGTTATTGATAAAGTACGCCAAGACACGCATGACATTACTGCAATACACTCACTAACACTGTATTAAATATTCGGTCATAAACATTTTAAAAACAGTGCCTTGCAAAGGCTATTCAAAACCATTAAGCAATTTTCTTTTTACTCCATTATTAAAGCTGTTATATAAGCTGATATTTTAACTCCACTGAAACTCAGAGCTCATTATTTGATTATACTTTATTTTGGTAGTTTACTTTAGACATTCTATTAACTAGAAGTAACTTTGCAACTACATGTCAACTAACTCTCATTAGAGTATTAGTAGACTGTTATGTTAGGGTTAGTAGAATAAATTGACATTAAAGTGGACCATCAAAATGAAGTGTTAACAGTTATTTTTATTGTGAAACTGTTTTAAATCACAAAATGATAATCTAGCAGTGATGACTGGGTACGGTAAGTACATACTAGCTTCATATATCATTCAGTTGCCATTGTGATAGATTTCATCAGTAGATTTGATCCAGGTTGTTCAGGTTAGCCGCATGAATGCCACAGGCATTGGACTGGGCCACACTGGGACATGTTTGTGTCCAGTCTTCATTTGTCCATTCATGTTTAGGATCAACGTCCCACTGAAAGTGTTAGTACTGTTTCTGCTTGGACAGATTATCTTGCAGTATCTTTTGCACGTCTCACTAACCCTGTTTACGTCTGGCATTAAGATGAGTTCTTAGAGGTCCAATCATAAGTTGTCAGCCAAGATGCTTTACATTTCGACTTGGTTTTAACATGCATTTCCAACATGCATTTTACCCGGTCAGTTACAGTTAAATCCAGTGAAATTCAGGCTGCATTCCTCCAAAGCATCATGAGGTAAGTTGATTGTAGAGACCACTGGTGTCAACAGTTCTACGACCTATTTTTGCCAGGCACTGTTTATACAGCCAGTGAACATGTACATTTTGGCTGTTGTGCTGGTTTTGGATCTGTATGTAGAGTGGATATGTAAACTCTGTTGCTCTGCTGTGATCTCTGTGATCTCTGTGATCGGTGTGTGTGTGTGCAGTTGGTTGTAGGCGGCAGTGCCAGCGGTTGGGGGCCGCTGGAGGACGACTTCTCCTCCACAAATGGACGATCTTGGCTGCTGCACCCCGGCGGCACGCGGATGCCAGTGTGCGGCTCTGACGGTGAAGCTTTCGCCTTCATCGAGAAGTCAAACACGCGTTACGGCATCACCACCGACATCAGTCTGGGCCCAGATGCCTTCATCCAGTTTGATTTCTCTGCCTCCTGCTCCGTCACCTCCTCCTGCTACAGTACGTCTCCTGACATGAGCGTGCGCTTCTGTCTGTGTCATGAATAGAAGGGTTTTCCTCTGACGGCTGTTCATGTGTCCGCAGTGGTAGAGCTGGAGTACTCTTTGGATCTAGGTCTCACGTGGCTGCCGCTGGTCAAGGATTGTTTACCCACAAGTCCAGATTGTTCTTCATACACACTGCAGAGATTACTGGTGTCAGATACTTACAACAAGTGGGGCAGAGTTACTTTACCCATACCACACTACGCCAGGTAAGCACCCACCCACACTATTTTCCCGTTTATCACTGTAAAGCTGCTTTAACAAAATCTGTATGACGTGAAACTTGACTTGACACCAGCATGTAAATCAAGTAAGGAATAATTGACGACAAGGCATTAAATTATTGAAAAATAATGCAGAGGAGGTAATGCTGTTACAACTTAGGTGTTCATTATTTTTCAATAATTCAAAGGACTGGAGTCAATTATTCCACTTATACCACTGTTACAACCCCTCAAGTCATTGTTCAGATAGTACTAATTTCTTACACCTCTCGTCCCAAGCCTCCGTTTATAAATTCAATACGTCATTTTAGAGTTAATATCATCTCTCTATGGTTTTTGGCAGCAGCGTCTCTACTAATAGCGAAACTGTACGTTTATCTGCTTCAAGAACAGCAACGTTACCACCTCCATACTGTGCAATGTCATTTATCTTTTCAGTTGCAAACTATATTACTGAAAAATGAATTTGCAGGGTAGGGCTGACAACAAGGTGCATGTGCTTGCAGAGAGCGAGAGCACGATAAAGAAAGTGTACTTTGCATGGATAATAAAAGGTCATTTACTTGGGAAAACATGGAAATTGTAATTCTTAACCCTTTTTGGTCATATATGGTTCATTTGCTGTGTTCAGTGTCTTTGGTTCATTTTGGTTGTTTTGCTGTTGTAGGCTGTGAATAACCTTTGAAATAACTGAAATTATATGGCGAAGTGATTTGGAAGTGCAATGCGGTCAACAGACCGGGAACTACTTCATATCTGCGCGTATCCTGGAAAATAATTGCACACATTAGAATATCCATCAACCAATCAGAATCAAGCATTCAACAGCCCGTGTATAATGACTTCTAAGAATTGAACGGTTTTTCATTGTCTTTTGTGGCAAACGCACAGGTCCACAGCCACGCGCTTCCGCTGGTTCCAGCCGGCGCCATTTGATAAGCAGCAGACGTGGGCTCTGGATAACCTGTACATCGGTGACGGCTGTCCCGAGATGTGCTCCGGCCACGGCCGCTGCAGACAGAGCTCCTGTGTGTAAGTCACTCTCACCTTCACCAGGTAATGCCTGCTGTAAGTCTTTCCTGCTCCTCATGGCTCTTGTCTTTCAGATGTGACCCTGAGTGGGGCGGTGAGTTCTGTGATGAGCCGCTGGTCTCTCTGCCCGCTCAGCTGAAGGACAGTTTCAGTCGAGCTCCGGCACTCAATCACTGGCACCTGCTGACCGGCGGCAAGATCAGCAGCGTCTGTGGAGCCGTGGCCTCTGGATCAGCGCTGCACTTCAGCGGGGTAAAACCGTCTGTCCTTCAGTCTCTGTTTCAGTCTGAGGAGTTCTTGAGATGCTCACATTCACAGTCTTTAAATTACACTATTGCAGCATGAAATCACAATATCATGAAGTCAGAAAAACTAACTATAGATGAAAACTAAAAACAAAATAACCAAATTCATAAGTATTCCAGATCCCAGAGTTAATACTGAGGATAACCTTTGGCAAAGAGCTTATTTTCCTGAAGATTGTGTCCCAGGAGTCTTTTCCTCGAAGGCTTTTTTATAGTTGGCCCATCTATTTTTCATTCTCTCTTTATGAGTTTCCCATCACTGCTGTCTTTCACCGTAGGGATGCTGTTCTCACCACGATGTGAGCTTAAGAATGAGGCACAAAAGCTCAATTTTACTTTCATCAGACCGTGAAATCTTCCTGCAGTTAGCTGTCTCTCAACTGCCTCTAAGCAAACTCCATCTCAAATATCATGAGTTTATTCAGCAAAACCTTTCCATGGAAATCATTTGTTGAAGGAAAATCTGTCTGTCCGTCTGTCCGTCTAGCTTTCTGTCTGTTGTAGTAAAGTTTCAGGATACATGACAGTATTGCTACAGTGCTGTTTGTGTAAGCGAGGGTAGTTTTGAATGAATCGGAGTGTCATGTATCATTGCTGTTGTTTGTCTAATGGCCAGAGCTGCTCTCGTCAGCTGGTGACGGTGGATTTGAATCTGACCAGTGCTGAATTCATCCAATTCTACTTCATGTACGGCTGTATGATCGCACCCAGCAACCGTAATCAGGG